TGACTCAGCTGAATCGTTTTCTTTGCCCACGTATAAATTCCAAGTTTTGTGCACTGAATCTCCAAAATTGACTTAATACCAGCTCGGACAATTTAAAGGGCAAAACTAGTTTTAAAAGAAATAAATAAATGCTTTGCATCAGCGTTTTTTCCTATGAAAAAAATTAATGGAAGGGAGGTGATTGTACACTTTTTTTGAAACTAGAAAGGAGGTTTTTATTGTTATTAAGACATAGGGGAGGTTTATATCATTGTGGGAAAACTCAGGGGAGGTTTTTATATTTTACCCTATTTTTAATGATTTTTTTTTTTTATATTTTCCGATCTAACCCTTCTAAACCCACTTAATTAAATAATAATCAAGTGAGATGGGTCATGATAGGTTTGACAAGTTTCCGAAATTGAAAGCAAAAATTAAACAAGTTTGAGACGAATTTGAGATGAAGGGCACTTAATTAGGGCTTGGACTTGGACAGGTTTGGGAATAGGATGGAAGAGCAATTTTTCACATGTACCTTACCCGTTGCCAACCCATGTCAATCCCAAGCACTTGGTTGTTTTGGATTTATCTCGGGCTTTGAGACCTGATGTGTAGGTCGTCTTAGGATTAGCCCTAGCTTGGTGTCAAAGGAGTTGAGATCTTTAGCCAATAAAACCTTTTCAACCCTCTCTATCAACTTGATCTAATACTGTACATCTCACCATGAGACTGGGACCCACCATGTATGAGATGTGGGGTGTGAGATCATGTTGGTAGAGGGTTGGAACGTGTTTTGTTGGCAGGTGATCTGGACTCATGTCAAGTACAGCCTAACCAATCCAAGCATAGCTAACCTTGAGTAACTTAAGTTGTGTTTTGTCTCAGGTCAGACTTGGTTTAGTCAATTATGGCTCACTGGGCCCAAGTTCTTTTCTTGATAAAAAAAGATTGCCCAAGTCCATGGTCCGGTGCCTAGCAAAAAATAGGTTGACCCTAGCTAAATACACCTAAGGCTGCGCTTAGAAACAACGCAAATATGTGTGAATGCAAATATATAGAGTGTAAAACGATTCATATAAATTTTAAATTTGGGTTAGTTTTGCATTGACAAATTTACCTTCTTACCAAACGGACTTTTAATTAACTGTAATAGATGCAAACACGAATTCCAATAAAGCATATGCTTTTTTTATCAAAAGCCCACTTGAATGCAAATTTACTTCTTTTTTATTGATGCACTTTTGTATCTTATTATCAATGTAAATATGCATTGGTCTTTCATTTGTCAATGCAAAAATGTAATGTTGCCAAACACAGGTAAAAGTGAACCAGAGTGCAAATTTACCATGAACCAGAATTTACACTCCATTTGCATCATTTCCAAATGTAGCTTAAAGGCCCAATTCGTTTTTATTTACCTGGATAAAGTACGTTTATACAGATAAATGTTTCTCAGGTAAAACTTGCCCTAAGGTTCCAATGTTCCTGTGTGATATAAGTTACTGGAGTAAAGAGAGAGGTGGGAGGGAGAGAACATTATCGGGGTGTGTGTGTGTGTGTAAGTTGCTTATTCACCAGTCCCACCTTACAGGAGGTAATTGATACTCTCTGATATCTTCGATTGATGTAGGACCCAATATAACAGCCAGTGAATGCAAGGATCATGGTCAATTTACCAACTGATCAACTTACCCCTTGCTAAATACCAACAAAGGAACGAGACCTTTAATTATACTAGTAAATGTGCGCATGCCTTGCATGTGGCACAATTTCTATTAATGATGATAATGGTAATAAAATTTAGATGTTCTTATCAAAGCTCATGTAACAAAGGTAAGTAATCAAAGTATGTTTGATATTATAAAAATGATTGATATTGTAAAAATGATAACCAGTTAGGTGGTTATCATCATCATCATCTAAGAGCCTTGTTGAAACTATATGGGATCAACTACATGAATCCCCTTTCATCATTCAATGCTATATCTATCGTTAAATTATGGGCACTTAATATTTTTTTATTACTTCCAGTCTTCCACATATGTCCTTGCTGATTTACTCCTGGCTCTTTTAGCCCCTTCAACATTAAACTTATCACATTTTTTAACAGATTTTATATATATTTATTTATACACATAACCAAATCATCTCATTCTACTTTCTCTCAGTTTTCTCCTTTTGGAACTATTCCTGAGTTCCTTCATATGACACCAAGCGAGTGGTATTAAATAAAATTCTTTAATGGGGTATGATTGGTTAAAATTCATTTTTTTCTTTTTTGGTAACTAATGGAAGCAAAATTCAACAACACCAAACAAGAAGAGAAGAAACAAGAACATGTTCATTCTTTTTGTGATTTTCTTGGGTTTTAGATCTTGATACAGATAGTAAACTTATTTTGTTTGTTTCTCTTTTTATTGTCTTGTGTATGTTTGTAGTTTTTGTTGGTAGTCTCTTGTTTGCTTTAGTGCTAATTAGTTAGATTTCATTAATTTCTTACTGTCAACGAACTGATATATTATTCTTATATGTTATTTAATCAGAATATATAATGTTAAAGAAATGTTCATTTTTATATATTTTTGTATTTTCATTATTAATTTTATGATATCACAAGACTTAACTCTTTTACAGGGAGGGAAATGCAAATATTGGTTCTATCTCATGGTCAAATCAATTCGTCAAATAGGAAAACCCATGGCCAAACAATGATTTTGAATCTATTTACAACCAAAACTTGCAAAAGACCATTTACTTGGTTATCAACGTGGTGACCTAATTGAACAATTTATGGATTTAATTAATGAAAATTAATAATAAAAAATAAAAATAAAAATACCTTAAATATAGGATTCAAAGAATAGGAGTTAATACCTTAAATATAGGATTTGATGATAGGGAATTGAATAAACTAAATAGTAGTATTGAAATTATATTTTTTGCCTCCAAAATGAAGAATGTCAAAATGCAAAATAAAGGGTATTTGAGCCAAGAAAAATTATAGAAATAAATAAGAGTTAATATCTTAAATATAGGATATAATGAGATGGAATTTAATGAAATGAATAATGGTATTAAAGTTACACTTTTTGCCCCCAAAATAAAGTGTCTAAATTCAAAATGAGAGATATTTTAGTCAAATAAAATTCTAAAAATCTTAAGTCTCATTCGTGCTTTTTATAGTAGTATAGATACAGATATAGATCTCTCTTGGTTGGCTAGGATTGAAAAAGCTTTACACACTATCATTTGAGAGAGATATAGAGAAGTGAAAAAGTACATGAGTAGAAAGAATTTCAATACCATTCAACCCGTGCAGGCAGGATCATTGGATCAAACATCCTAGGCCCAAGCCTAAACCTTGGTTGTGTATATGTTAGGCTAGGCTTGGTTTGGTCGGACCAAGCTGAGATTTGAGGTCTAGGTCCTAGGGTTGCATCTGAGTTGACCATAATCCAACCTTTCTTTTTGGGTAGGCAACTCAGGAACCATGTCCAATAAATAATCCAACCTAAGTTACACCTCTAGTTAGGAGAAATGGCAGGATTGATAACCTTGTCCAATAAATAACGCATGTACCATTACCGAATGGGTCGGTTTCAATATGGGCTTGGCTTAACCGGGACTTAATCCACCTCAACCTAAACTGGACCAGACCCGACTAGTTGGAAATAGGGTTTACCAAACCCTGACCCGCCTATCTCATGCCATGAATAATACCACATTTCTTAATGAAGCTTATAATTCTATGTTTATTTATAAAAAATGATTAAAATTAAGATTTGTGGTCAAAAAGGATTTTCTTTTTTTTTTTGTAAAACATAAATAGGGCAAGGCGTTTTTGGCCCTTGAACATATAGATCTGGAAATGTTATTCCAAATCAATATAAAGATCACTCCAATCAAATAATTGAACTCAAAGATATGGCCTCCAAAAGTTTGTAGATACATTGAACGTGTAACCTATGACCTGGTGACTAGGTTGAATGAGTCAATGGTTTAACTACCCAGGTTGGGAGTTCACATCTCCTCCCCACAAGGGCCACCCCACAGCACATCCCCGCCGTGTATCGGGAACATCTCCCGATGATGTACCAGAACTGATGATGACATGGGGGATGTTCCCAATACAGGGCAGGGATGTTCCCAGGTTGGATGATGTTTGACCCAGTCAATCATTATTGGTGAAACCCATGTTTTATGGAAACTAGACCCAAAATCATGAATGGCTGACGGTTTGAATGGTTTGATCATTTGGGTCAATGGTGGGTTGAAAACATTGGTCTAGAGGTTGGGTGTGGGTCACTACATCAATGGTATGCATCTCATGGCCCAAACTGGCCTGTCTGGGCTCATGCCATGGGCCGTGTTGGGCCTGACTTGTTAGTGATCCCAAAGGAAGCAAGCACAAACCCACTTAGGCCCATGGGCTGGCACGACACGGCCCGCAAAGTTGTACCATGCCGGCTCAGTACGGCCGACGGCCGATTTACACCTCCAACCTACCCGAACCCAACTTGACAGGGTATGGTCAAAGGTGGGTTTATCAGTTAACCCGACCCAAACCCGCAATGCATGGAGCATTCTCCATTCTGTATGTTGCAGTTTTAGGCTTGCACTATTCTTTCCCTCGTGCTGTTCCGTAGCGCACCTTATACAGTTTCAGTCCAACTCAAAAGAGCACAAGGCCCAACTGGAAGAGCCAAAAATGGCCGTTACCGTGGCGAATCTCGATAGGATACATTCCATGAATGCAGAAATTCCTACCTGAAAAAAAAAACCACCGGCCAGTTCCATTTCGGTACGGGCCTCCGCACCTGCGCTCCTATCCGGACGGCTACGCTGACGAGCGCAGCCGAATCGACGCTCAGAGGCCAACGGCCCTCGCAAGCGGAAGCCCGCACCAGATTTTCATTTTTATTTTCTCAGTTTAAAAAGAAAATTCTAAAAAGGCGCGAATTCCGACGCGCTTCCCGGTACGAGAAGAAAGAGACAGTTACTGATAAGAGTGAGGGAGAGTAGTCCAAAGAGACAGAAAAGCAAAAGCAAGCAAGCAAAAGAAGATGATGCTCTCACTAAAGCTGGTACGCTCTCTGGTCTTGGGAGAAACCATTAACAACCCTCTCCTTTTAGCCCAATCCCACCATTACCATGATGATCTTGTTTCTGATGATGATGATGACGACGATGATGATCCTCATCTCCATGTCCAACCCCTTCAGCTCCATCGAAGAAGCGGAAGCAGAAGCAGCAGAAGTGCAGGAAGAAGAAAGAGTGGTCACAGTGGCAAGAATAGCAGCAATACGAAGACCCCTTTGCTTCTTTTCCTCCCCACCAGAGAGATCATAAGGGACACATACAGGCTGGCCACCATAGCTAGAGATATGGGGATGGACTTGTACCCCAGCCCATCTCTCTCCCACATCATCTTCTCATGGCCATCGCTGTCTTCTTTGCCGTCGTTATGGTCGTCGTCGTCGTCTTCGTGGTCAACATCTGCGGATATCATTCCTCTCCCCTTCCCCTCCCTGAGCAATGCCTCTGCTGTGCAGCTCCGCTCCTTTGTCTGCCTTTCGAAGGGGCTGTTCAAACTCGTGTTTTGCAGTTTCAGTTGCAACAGCTTTAAGGGTATTGGTGATGATGGGGATAGTTCTAGTAATTGGGACTGTTGTTCGCTTTCTCTGTATTCTCGACTGAGCGGTGACCGTATTGATAGCATGGATGGCTTCTCCCGGGCTCTTGCTGGTGTGGGTTGGACCCTGTTCAAGACTAAGAACAACCCATCTCTTGGTTCGAGTGGTTGCGGCTTCCGTAGCGTCAAATCTGTGTATCTCTTCAGAAAGGTTGTTGCAAATAAGGTTCGGGCTAAGCTTCCGAATGGAGGAACTCCTGTATCTGGGGAGTTCAGAATTAGAGAGCTGAGGTTGCCCCCTTTGGATTTCAGGAATGCCCCTTTGAGGATTTTGCAGTATATCATTCTAATGACTGATGATCTCTTCTATCTCGCCTGAACAGGTGAGTTCTTTCTCTGTTTCTTCTTTTTACTTTATGGGTTTTGTCTCCCTTTTATTGTATGAATCGTTATATGCATAAACAAGAATCTGTTGTTTGTTTAACTTCACTATTTTGGTAGGATCTGGAAGCAGACATTGAATGTTTCTACTGGTTTGCTTGTAATCTGTATGTGTCCCGGTGTCCCCACATGAAAATCGAAAATAACAGAAGAAATTAAATAGAGAATCATTAGGGATGGAGAGAGGGAGGGCTGAACATTTAATTTTTTTTTTATATTATCCAAATCTCTTGTTGCATGTAACAGAGGGCTGCTAGTTATAAATCTTTCTATTAGCTTAAAAGTAAGGTTTTGAATTTTGGCATAATTTTGAAACTTCATTTTAACTTGGCAAATGAGAAACTTCAGAATTTTCTCAACTGGCATTTTTTAAATCATGCACGCAATTCAAATGGAATATAGAGAAGCTGCAAAATTTTTGGTTCCTGATGTCATTTCCATTTTGGTTGAGAATCAAGTCTAACACTGATGTTGTACCCCTGATTTGAAAACTCTGAGCATAGAGTAACTTCCAAAACTTTTCATTATGTACCCAACTTATTTTACTGCCTTCACCCAATAATCTGTACACAACATATGGAATCACACTTATCCTCTTTCTCCTTGTTTCTCTTTGTTATTAATGTAATTCTCTTGTAAAAGTAAACTACCTGAGTGGCTTGCTCACACTTGATACAGATAGACAATAGTAAAAAGAATTCTTTTTTGATTCATGCAGTCATTTTATAATCTTGTAAAAGTAAACTCCAAAATTCATGCAGTCATTTTATGGTCTTGATTCAAATAGCTTCCACCAAGTTTTATTGGATGCCTCAGAATTTCTCTTATTTTGGTATATTCCAGACCAGCATAAGCTGGGAAATACCAAGAATAAATACTTATTTTTCCATTTATGGCTCTTTGAAACTAACTTACTATCTTTTTTCTTAGTTTATTGTTTGGCACTGTCTAATTCTTAAAAGATCACAAAGGAGGACCAGATGTTCTCAGATAGCTGACTTATGATTCATTCCTTTCTTGTCAAAGTTGTCATTAAAGGTTAATTCTTCAGACTTAGACATTACCATGCAGTCTATACCATTTAGTGGTGCTTTTCCTTTAAGATCCTTTGTTATGAGGAATTGCATTTTATGGATCTGATGGCACCACAAAAATAGTGAAATAGTTAAAAAGAACAAAGCACATATAACACAAGAATTTTGTGTGGTTTCACTAAGTGCTTACCTATTTGGATGAAGACTAACAAAAATGTTCACTAATAACTGAGAGGATTATAAAGAACCAAAACCCAGAAGAATGTCAAAGAGAGTTTCTTCTTAAGAAAATGTTTCCTCATTTCCTCCTCAAGGCTGTGTTCTTCTCAAGAGAAATAGTTGTCTAAAACATTCCTCCTGAAAGCTGTGTTCACAAAAGGATCCATACACCAAGAAAAATCAAGAACCAAAGCGAAAGGTATAGACCTGTGTAGAACACCAAGCTCATAACTGGGGAACTGGTGGAGAACCTCCCATGGAGAACTGAAGTGTCTCACCAAAAAATAACGTAAAGCATGCATTTATAGATGTACAAGTGTACAACAGACTTCTAAAAAAACAAACAAGAGAGAGAGAAAGAGAGAGAGAGAGAGAGAGAGAGATCCACTTGATTCCTGATCTATAGTTTCTCCATGCAGGTTAACCATGAAAAGATATATTTAGTTCTTCATCCCTGTGATTCATATATAAACCATGGAATTGAGTAGGTGGGTTCATCAATAATATCTGCTGGAAACTGGAAGAGCACCCTTTGAGAGGTCAATAATCCAATTACCATTTTGATTCACACTTTCACTGGCCTGCAGATCTAGGTTGTTTTTTGTGTTAAAACAGGCTATTTTTAATGTACCCTATTCACTGAATTGAACGGCTTCTCTTTTAAATTTGATAGGATAGACCTCTATTTATGTAGTTATTTTTGTCATTAGTTCAGAAAGAACAGAAATGTGGTTGCTCTTGACATCTTGTTCCACACTCATAGCATCTATCGTTCTTTTTGTTGTTTTAAGGAATATATAGTTCTGTTGTTGAAACCAGTGATTTAAAAGGTGTGGGAGGTGTATGCATAGAGGTGCACCTCAAGGCGAGATGCCCCCAAAACGCCATAAGGTGTATGCCAGAGGTGTTGACACCTCTGAGGCATGCACCTCAGGTGTAAGAGGCATATGCCTCGTATGCATTTTCTAGGTGAGGCGCCCCAAAACGCCCCAAGACATGCCAGAGGCATTGACCTCTGAAGCATACACCTCAGGTGTATGAGCCGTATATGCTTTTTTTCATGAGGCTTGGTAGAGGCGTATGCCTCATGCGCCTCACGCACACCTCATATAAAAAGACAAAAAAAAAAATGAGATCCTCTTCGACAAGACCCCCCATTTTAACTAGTGATATGCATTCTTCATTCTTCTTAATTTTATCAAAAATAAAGAAAAATGAGATCCTCTTTCCTCTTCTTCCTCCTCCTCCCTCCTCTAGGTGGTGGAACACTTCGCGTCACACCTCCACGTTTTAAAACATTGGTTGAAACTTAATTACTTAAAAAAGTGTTTGAAAACCCGGTATAAGTTCAGTTTATGGTCAGCTTCTATAAAACCTGTAAAACGTTATAGTGTAACAAGTTTGGACTTTTAACTGGTTTGAGAAATTATTACCTCTATTGGTGGAGGCACGATAACTGAAATTGTGATGCTCTCTGTAGGATGCTTCTTGGAAACAAGATTTTGGATTCATCCAGTCAAGGCAGCAAGAACAGTGTCTTCTGTTCAACTGCGCCAGATGGAACACTTGGAGACTACTAAGGGAAATGAGAATAGTTGTTTTCAACTGTTACAAATGCACTCTCGAGGACTGCGACTTCTGACTCACCGTTGCATATGGGAGGGTGACTTGGAGGCCAGTATAGACGAGATATTTTGCTTGATTCTTACAAATGGAACACCTTGAGGAAAAGACAGTCGTGAAGTTCAGACCTAGTTGATCCAGTTACACCAATTGGAATCAGATGCCAGTTTGAAGTTCAATCTTGGATATAATCATGTATGATGAACATTTAGAAGATACCTAAAACGCTGACTATGTTTTTTGTCATCAAATCAAACAATTTGGGCACCTAGATCATGAGTTGCATAATAATTTTTATTGTAAACTGACATGTAGAACAGATTCTTGTTTGTGTTGTCACTAACAATGATTTCTAAAGCTCGAGGACTTGGTTGCTAGGTTACGTGCCCCTTCATTTAAGATTTGCAATGTTTGTTAACGTCCAGACCCATTTTGGGGGTTGCCAAGGTTCAAAACAGTGATACAATGCTTTGAACCAAGGTTCAAAGTATCAATATACATATCATATTGAAGCTTTCCCGATACGCCCCTACAGGGGGTGTTTCAGGTCGGCAAGTGGTTCAGGGGGTAGACCAGCCCCTCTGAACCAGGTTTGAAAAAAATAAATAAAAAAAAAGGGTACTGATACGCCCTATCGATACTTTTAAACCTTGTGCTTATTTTCTCAAAATTTGAAGTTGTGTTATTTTTATGTTCTTTAATTATTAAAAAAAAAGGAGTTTCTTAAGAATAACAATATGGGGTGTGAAATTTTGAACCTTGAAGTTGCCAATTTAGGACTCAAAGTCCAACCATAAGAATTTGTTTGTCTATCCAAGACTCTTTGTGACACATCTTGCATTCCGAATAGGAGAAAATGATTCAGCATCATGGACTTTGGATAGCATTTCTCCATTAATCTTGATAGTGTTTATAATAACAAAGCAAATGTAAGCTTCGTTCACTATTCGAGAAGTTATTTATCCGGGTGAGTGTTTCTTGGGAAATATTTACCCGCGTAATTGCATTTATCCATGTTCTTCTATTTCTCAAGTAAATAAGATAATGAATGTTTTAGCCAAAAAAAAAAAAAAGAAAAAATTCATTATTAGAAGGGGCAATTTTATTCCATCCAAGTATTGCCAATTTCTCCCCAGATAAGAAAGTTATTTATCCACCTGTGAGATGGATAAGTGATACCTAGGGAAAATAAGTTTTTCATGAATCCCATATGAATCTAAAAAAAGAACATAGGTGTATTGATCAATGTAAACCAAAATCCCATTAACTAACTTTTTACCTCTCAAAATCCAAAAAACAAAAAGTTCCCAAATGGTTTCTAATCAACGAACATGTGCTAAAAAATTTTGCCAAAAGAAATTTTCTTTTGATTTATAAGTTGTGTATGCTTAAACTCGCCTTTCAATCGGAATGGTTACATCCAACTAAGTAAGAAGCTCAACAAAATATTCTGAAACAACCCATTAAACATATTCAATTGGAAGGTAGTTGTTGCAACAAACATACTCTTCAGTCACCTAGATATTCCCTGAATGCAGATTGCCTGCAAGCATCAATTGGTAGTGTCGCAGTAACCGATTTTTGTTAGATCTTTTTCTCAATTGAGAATAAAGTAGAATCATTAGAAACATGCTTGTCAATATACTAGCTTTTTGACAAAAGTCAATATACTAGATGCCATTTCTTTATTGAAAACGGTGGTGCAACGTCGAATCATTTTCTTAAAAAACAGTAACATTCTTTGTTTGGTTTCATCATCGTTGCCATCTTAAATTATTTTCATCGTTTCATCAACCAACCATTGCTAGTAACGGTATAAACATGAAAAATACACCTTTGGCATTTTCTGAAACCACGCCTTCCCAATTTCCCAAGTGTAATCATTTTTTCAGCATTTTTTGGAAAAAAAAAATGCCAATCAAACAGAGAACTTGTTTTCAAAGTTCAAACCACAAAATGCTGATGTGGGGTAGATATATCACCATTTTTTGAGAAAACAGCATTGGATACAAACACCTAGGTTGCGTTTAGTACCATTGCCACTTTAAATTGCAATGTTTTAGGTTGATCAATACAAATTTTATGAGAATATATTTTTTTCTATCACAAATGCTTTGAGTTATCAATACAATATTTGGTACTATTGTTGTTTATTAAGAAAACATCAAATTTGGTGTTTCTATTATAAATATCAACACTTAATCCGAATCCTATATTTCTTTTTAATGAAAGCGGTTATTTGATATAATATGACAAGACAAATTTTCAAAAATTTGTATTGACCAACCTAAAATGTTGTAAGTAGAAGTGGCAATGGTACCAAACACAACCCTAATCATCTACTAAATATGTAACAACTGCAAATGAATATTATACATTCAGCGTCCTGCTCCATAAGCATCAAAACTCATTACCCTTTTCAATTCTCCCGTTGAGAAAAAAAAAAAGTCAATTTTTAGAATGGTAATTCAGGATTATCATCCGCAATTCAGGGAAGGGCAATTGCCAATAGACAGTGCTATTGTGGATCCCAATCTTTTACATTTCAATTGGAATACTCGCTGTCATTCGATACCAAGTTTTGGACAATGACCAGAAGTTAGAAGAGCCCAAATTGGTGATACATACGGCATTCCATGGCTAGATGTGAAGGTATTGACAGTAATAAGCAAGCCCAACAATCCTGAATCCCCCAAGCAAACATTCCAGAAAACTAATACATAAATGATTAGGCCACAAGTTTTTGCAAAAAAAAAAATGAAAGAAAAAAGGAAAAATAAGTATCCAGTTTAAAATAAAAATAAAACAAACAAAATTAAAAAACACTGATTTTCTGCATCAACTTTTATATGGATATGGCCCTAAACCGAACAGAATGGCAAAACAGATTCATGTAACAGACCCCATAAATAGTTGGGACAAGGCTTAGACGATGATGACGACTATTATATGAACACAATCATGTAGAATGTGTACCATGTGTTCGGGAAGCCCATATTCCAAAAACAAGAAACCAGAAAACAAACAAAATTGCCCAGTATCGTGCAGGTCCATACTTGATTCTAGATAGAATAATCTGCAAGGTACACCAGCAATAGATTAATCAAATCACCCACTTGCCAACTCAAATCCATGATCTTAATCAAGCAAAAAACAGAGGCACCTAGGAAACAATGACAGAAGATCAGATTGAAATTTATGAGAAGTCTACAATGGCCCAGTTCTTGAAACGTGCATGGCATTTCTAGTTCATAATAGCTTAGTCTTGAAACATGCATGGGAAACCAATTTATAGATGTAAAGATGGATGACATGCTTGGCCTTTTATAGGGAAACAGTAAGTGTGTGTCATTAACAAAATATAATATTCTGGAGTATCTACCAATTAGCTGGCATCTTGAATCTAACCCGGATAAAATGTATCCACTAGCAATGATAGTATCCCATTATAAAATGGAATTATTAGTCCAATGGGATCACCCAATCTACTCCTTCTGAAGAACATTTGAAAATAGAGATTCAAAAAACAAGAGTCTTACTAACTATATGCCTATTCTCATGTTTTCTCACTTCCCAAGGTGTATCAGACACAAGAACCTCAATATTGCGAATACTAACTATATGCCTACATTCATGTTTAAATTGCATTCTTTGGCAAATAAGTTAAATGAAGTTTTTTTTTTTTTGAAAAAGGTAAAGTAAATTTATTAGCAGAATCATACAAAGAAACCCCATAGAAGGAGCAAAAACAGAATCATACAATAAGCTAAATGAAGAATGTCTGATCAACTTACAAAGCGGAGGAAGATCACAACTGTCAAAGCACATATACCCCCAAGCAGAATGTGAAGACCACTTTTTGCAGTCTTCTGAAAATCAAAGTAGAGTCAGTTAGAGAAAGCACATCATACAAGACATTAGTGAAAATGATAATTGCATTATCAATATCAGAAAACCATTTAATAACAATAAGAATACAATATGGAGATGGTTTAGCTAAACAAGGAGTGGATCCGGAACAATATTTTTGGGCACAAGTGTAAGAAACTTATAGGAACACATGGTGGAGATAATCTCTCCATGCTTTCTGACCTATAATTATATAATCTGTATATAATTTTTTCTATCGAATTTAGTGAAGTGTTATTGATAAAAAAACACCATTTACTAACAAATACATGCATATAGAATTATGAACCTTTTCTAATTAAAATCATACCATGAGGTCCATGACATTATTGTTAGGCAGTACTGCAACAACATCAGTGTTTTAAAAGCGCAAGGCGCAAGGCGAGGCACACGCCTTTTTAAGAAAGGTGCAAAACTACAAAAAAAAAGTCAGAAAATTAAAAAAAATGCCAAAAAAATTTAAAAATTGCAAAAAATATTAAACATAATGTTAATAAAAAATATGTTTTAAAAAACCAATTATCTAAAATTAAAATACATAAACATAACATGCAAAGCGTATTCAATTGAAAATTTAAAAATAAAAGAAAACATATAAAGCATTTTCAAGCATGTAAAACTCACAATCTCTTTTTTTCCTTAATTGCATTGCTTCAAGTAGCTAATGTGATGTAAAACATATTGCATTCTTGATTCTATGAGTTGCCTTTGTACCATGCCCCTTGAGGCAAACCTGAACAAGTCTATGTTAGGGTTTGAAATTCTTATTTCTCACATGAAAAATAATGATTTTATAACTTTAATTGCCTTTTAAGAAGATATTTTATTGGAATGAATGAAGTCAAGTACTTGGCCAATGAGAAAATGCCAGCACTCATCCTTGACTTCAGTTGATCAGAAAATAATGAACTTCATCTAAAGCCAACAAGGGGCCATTGCTTGGTCCTATGGTAAAATCTCAGGCTGATAAGCATGAGAACATAGGCTTAAGTCTATGAGCAGGCATTTCAAGAAAAAAATGCCAAAGTTCAGGTCCTTGTGCAGTCCACCCCCAAGACCCTAGATGCTAGGGATAGCATTGGGTGATGGAGGGGGTCTGAAGCCCATGCATAAGATTTACAAGGTCTTTAGTTTAGTAAAGAATGATATTGCAATTTCTCCATATTTACAAAAAGACAACTATGCCAATTCCTTCAAAACAAAATTTCCCCTACAATAGATATCTCCAAGAGAGATGTTTCAATTTAATACTTTTTTTTTAATTCTCTCCACTTGGATCTGTCTGCCTAGTGCCTACTTGGCATTTTTTAATGTGGTTTGTATAACTAGTGCAATGATGCCATTATTCCATGCCAATATGGAAGAAGATTGGTGTAAGATTTGCACTTCCTTGGGATCAAAAAAAGGATTAGCATCCTTTCCTTTTGTATTTTAACCTAAGTTCTTTTGCACTGATAGGTAATGAGTCCTAACAGAACCTGAATGCTTACACTTAGGTTTAATCTATTATATCTTGTCTTCCTTTCTTGCTATTTGCTACTTTACCACTTATTCTTCTTCCTTTTAATTTCTTTATAAGATATCCCTCAGAAGCCTTTTCCAAATTATTTATGCATTAGAAAAATTTTTTATTACTCTTATCCAAGAAATTGTGTATTATCATATTCTTTTTTTTTTTTTTGGTGAAATGAAGTATCATATTCCATAACGTATAATCATATACATGTCAAACTCCATACAGCCAGTTGCAATACATAAGGGCTGCTTTTAACTCCTAGAACAAAACAAAACAAAACAAGAACTATGAATTCCAGGCATACTATGAATCCCTCTCAAAAATAAGATGAAATGTAATTCACATGGCTGACAATGAACAAACCGGTCTTTGGATTTCTAAAATAGCTTTTTTAGGATTAGATTGATGACCAAACATACTATAGTTTCTTTCACCTGTACCGGCCAAATGAAGGAAAATGGTAAAACAATTCAAATATAATATGTGCATCTTTTTATTAAGGCCCTTCAAGCACCAGCCATTAAAGGTGTCAAATATGGACCGAGAAAAGCACCACCAACTTACACCTTTAACCTAACCTTCTTAAGTAAGGCCTGCAGAATTCTGTGATTTTCCTTCTTTATAATCACTTCAGATACAGTCTAACCTTAAAACCAGAATCCTACTCATTAGCAGTCTTACATCATATTTTGCTTACCAAATCTATATGGAAAACTTATATTTTTTTCTTTAATCCCTAAATTTGAACCTTAAATCTTAAAACCTGGTTTGCATCATAACAATACTTGAGTTCAGGAAGAAAACCAAGAAAAGGTAAAATATATATTTCTGGAATATCTCTTAAGAAATAAGGAAGGAACAAAACAAAAAATCAGTAATATACCTTTCCAACACGAGGAGCAATAAGCCATGCTAGAGTGACAGTAAGAAGCCCTGTAGCAACTAGAATCCCTGTACCTTCTACAGCCCATTTTGTTGCAGGATTTTCATTGGGAACAACATCTTCGGTTGGGAAATTAGAAACTTGTTCAGGGGCACCTTGTGGAACTGTTGGGTGGTTGTTATTATGTGGATTAAACCACAAAGAAATTTCACTAAGCCTTTGTCTTCGAATGGCAGCAACAGCATCAGGATCTACCCCTGCATCTGTCTGAATATGGGAAGTAGTAGGTACCCCAGTTGCTGTCCTTTCTCTTAATGTTTCATACTCCTTTAGAGAAGCCACAACCTTTTTGAAGTCAGTGGGTCTGATACTTTTTGCTGTGCTTCCACAAATTTCACAAACAGTAGACCCATGATTAATGAACCACTTCAATGCACAAGCATAATGTGCAAGAGCAAGATCATTTTTGCAAGAACATCCAAGCTCGATAAGGGCGTCTTGATGGTAATATGAACCTGCTTCTAGATCAGTATCACAAATGAATACCTCCCCATCTGGGCTAACAAACTCAATAAACCCAGACTTCCTTCCACAATTCTTATTGATTTCACTTTCAGCACATTTTAGGTCTCTTTTGTTATTAGAATTTGAATCCACATTGAGTTGTGAGACTTCCCGCAACGGAGGTGTTATGTCCAAGAATCCCAATGCAGCATCTCCCATTCTGTCAGATTCAACACATTGGCACACTCGACAAGTTGCCAAACTTGCATCTTTATCTGTACTTTGACGCAATGTGGATTGTGTACCTAAATTTTCCTTCTCTCCATTTGAGGATAAGCTGTCATTATTGACTCCACCATTGGTCATCTGTATATGATCTTCATTAGAGCCCATTACATCAGATAAGGCTCTCTAGGATTCAAACAATACACTCTGCAGTTTGCACTACCTTAATCATTGTATCATTTTTCTTCTGCAATCTCACCCAATCAAGTTAATGTAAGGCCAAGTCGCCCACTTTGAACTTCTAAAAAACAAATGCCAAGTACCAGTTTTCCAATATAGAACTCATGGGCAACAAAAATACTTAAACCAAAAATGTAAATGAATCTAAGCTTTTAAGAAATCCATGATTATTGGACAACTTTAAATTAAGTGTTGAATTAGATGAGCAGAGAGAGCACAGAATGTTGAAACTTCTGTTTATTCTTTCTTCTCAAAAATTGCAGATACCAACATCTTCTAGATCTCCAGATACTGCACTGTTAAGTAGAAAGCAAAAGATAAGTTCGGCAAATCTTCATTTTTTAACACAAAATTACATAAAATCAACAACACAGACAGTATCTGATCAACATACAATCAAGGTCCAAAGTATCAAGACACCCAATATGCATGAACTTGCATATCGGATGTTTCAGAGGCACGCTACTCATTTTTCTTTAGATTTTTTTCAAAATTTTACAGGGGATCAGTCTTAGACCTGGCTACCCCGTGAAAATGGTCAAACCCCAAAACAAATATTATTTAGCATATCAGAGCACTACCAAAATGATACAATGCACCTGATACGCCCCAATACATTGTGATATTTTGAACCTTGCATAGAATGTAAAATTCCATTAAATAGATATTTCTTGAGAATGGCATGACTTGACATAATAAATTAATAACTAAGGTGATTTTCAAATCAATTAGATGCTTGAAGTTTCACAGTTTGTATATCCTTAAGTGGCAGTGAGGACCTGGCACCGGATATAGACATGACAACATGAAATCAATTTATGACAAGAAGTCAGCACAATGAGGGACAAAACAAATCATCCTAACCATTATGCATCCTACCTAGCATTAGCTCGAGGTATTCATTCTATATCATAAGCTTTTACTGGCTTATTGATGTGAAGAATATTCTTCTATCTAACTTCATAATTTGGACAAACAATACCAGTTATATTAATGAAGCAAGAGAACAGATGCAAAAGTTCTAGTGACATTACAGGTCACCACTTTTCCATAGAAGTTTTAGGTATCTCAGATAGGTTACTTTGAGAAGTGTTAGTACTATTGAAAACCTATGAGCTGAACAGGTATAACATGAAAATATATGCCTCATACAAAAACTGAACACATTTTGGCTTCTAAACCAGGTCAGATTTCTGAACAAAAGAAACACATACCCCAACATAATCTAACTTCTAATAATCTAGAGAATTATCAACTAAACCCATTAAAAAGGCCATTACTTAATGTTGGTCCCAGCTATCTGGGTTCTTGGGAGTTGGGAGGGAATGGATTTTTTTTTTTTTTTTTTTTGCACGAAGTAGCCTCTCTCAGACTTGAACCTATATTCTCATGCTTGCCAGCCCTAAATTTTACAATTATCAACTGAACCCACATATGGAAAATTCATGAAAATATGTCATAGCTTAAAGACCAATTTCATGGAATGAACGGTTTGATTTTCAAGCATAAGATCAACAAAAGCAACAAACAGAATCCTAATAAACAATCCCAGCTAATTTCTTGCTTCCTGAAGCAAATTACACAAGTCTAACCTACAGAATTCTTCTCAATTCAGACACTTGACTACTTCAGAGCTCATAGCTCAGTGTTACCGAACGCCAGCCACCTTAGTAATTGAATTAACTGAACCCACGACCCATAGAATTAAACGATACCCATTATTATAATTGAGTAGTAACCATGCAATACTGAAATTTTCAGATATCTACAACGCCAATTTTGGATATTTAGTCCTTTGGTATTTAGTATCACTGACACCCAAATTCAGATACTCATAAACAACTGATAGGAATTGCAAAATGAGGCGTCGTTTAGAAATGATATGACATCAAAGAAATAAAAGCATAGCTTATAAAATTCAGAAACCCAGATCCCAATTTCGAATTGGGTTCTTCTCTGAGTATGCCCGAGTTCAGAAGATTGAAGAAATAGATAAGATTTAAAAAGCAAAAAAAAAGGAAATGATAGAAACTGAAACGCAGCCATCGATTGATTAAAATTGATATTAATAAACAAACAGGGAAAGAGACCTCTTTACCACTTAAGGAAGCAAGGATCGCCACCGCAGACGAAGTCGATCTGCAAAACTGACAACTTTTTCCCTTATTTTTTTCTGAGAAATCGAGGGGGGCATCAGTTGCTAAGTGGTGGATGTGCTGTGATTAGCATTTTTTTTTTAATTTACAGTTTTCATGTTTTAACTTTTCGCCCAACAAGGGAAGGATGGATATCAGTCGCTGGATGGATGGAAGTCTCGGTCTCACTCAAAAGATCTTTTGATCCTTTTCTGTGTCACAGACTAATCTCAATCTCGAATGCTCGATGTCTCTAGCGTCTCGTGTGGACGTCACGAGCGAATATCTCCTACTACTGCAACTGTGTTGTACAAATGTACCGTCTGCTTGATTTTGCAGACTATTTGTCACTTGGTGTTGCGGTAGCAGAGAATAACTGCAGTGTATAAAACCACAAAATAATCCGAAAGCTTGCTTTGGACCAATTGGTTGAACCATTCGGGCCATCAAATCTGGTTCTAGTCCAGTTCAGTCTGCACTTTTGCTGACTGTGCAACTGATTGTAGGAGTGCATTTGGGGGGCTTGGACTCGGGTTTTGTCAAAATTTGAATGTGCGCTCAAACTAGAGTCTGGATTTCGTACCCACGACGACTCTACCCACATCTACCACATGACATGGCAACCACACGTCCTTATACATGTTATCATGCATAGGAGATGTTTCCAATGCACGGGATCTAGTGCTTTGTGAGTAGTGTGGGTAGAGTTCATGTAGGTAGAAGATCCAAAGTCCTCAAAGTAGTGTAAAATGTTCACTCATGCCAATCCAAACCAATGTTTTTAAGCCAATTCAGAAGTCGAACCATTTTTGTCTTTGGGGCATGGGTCACTAGTTTGATTGTTTGATTGTCTGGGTCGAATGGGTCAAACCGTGTATCAAAAAGGGGTTTTTTTGGCAAAAATAGTGGGGCAAGATGCCTATAGTTCATTAGGACACATAGAGCTCAAAAAGTTAGTCAAAATAAAAAATAAATAAAAAAATAATCACCTCAATCAAACAACCTCTAGGTCAAACAATTTTTTACCAACGCAAAGGTTTTTGACTTTTCTCCGGGTTTTACTAAAACTAGACCTAGAATCTTGGTCATGTGATAGTTTGAATGGTTCAACCAGACAGGTCAACTACCGGCAAGGTTCAAAATTCCGTCATGTATCAGCCCGTATCGACCGATACGTACTGTATCTTAAGGCTTCTGGCATGGGGAACGGTTTGAAATCAATCGTGTCGAAGGTGTATTGTTGTCATATCGGTGTGTGTATCGGTGAGTTTCGATCGTGTATCGGCCGATATGCAACTGATACGGTAGCGTATCAATCGTGTATCGGTCGATACGCAACCGATAGCTACCGATACACAACGATTGTTAAAACACAAATAGAAGTGATTTCGAAAGAGGGCTCAGAAGCCCTCTTTCTTTCCCAAACCCTCCAAAAAACCTTTTAACCTTTCTAAATACTCAAATCTTGTAAAAATTTGTCAAAGGATCTATAAATTTGTAAGATTTAATAAGTTTTTCAAGGTTGTGTAAAAATGAGTGAAAATAAATATGTTTTTTCAATTTTTTTTTTATATTTTCAGCCAATGTTAAAAAAGATAAGGGGAAAGAAAGTGGTTTGCCCCCTGCCCCTTTGCCTTGGGGGTTTCGCCCCCCAGACCCCCCGTCCCCCTTTTAAATGTAGCCCAATTTTATTTTTTAGAGTTGGGGGGTCTTACTCCGCTTCGCTCGCTCGCCTTCGCTTCGACAAGACCCCCCTTTTAACAAATGTTATGCATTTTTTTAATATAAAAGATTTTTATTAAAGATAAAGAAAAAAAATGAAATCCCCTCTTCCTCCTTCCTCCTCTTAAGGAAGCTTACGCCTCTTGCGTTCTGAATTATGCTTCACGCCTCTAGGTAGTGAAACACCTCTGTGTTTTAAAACATTGAATCATTGATATTTATTTTTTTTTAATTTTAGTTTACTTTTAGAATAAAATATGCAAAATAATTATTTCATCTATTATGTCCATAAATCCATTCAATTTTTTGTTACATATTTACTTTTCTTAATTTTAATTTAATTTTTAGAATAAAACGTGCAAAATAATTATTTGAATAAAAATAAATAATTATTTTTTAGAAAATTAGAATAAAACATGCAAAATAATTACTTTATCTATTATGTCCATAATTAGATAGTATGTTTATGTTCTCGATTTTCCGTTTATTGATCATAATATGTTTTTTTTTCATAAAACCCACTAAAATATGCTATTTTTATGCATAAATAGCTCATTTATGTCTTATATTTAGTGATATTGATGTTTATTTATGATTTATTAGAGTATTTATAGCATTTCCATGTGTTTTTATGCGTATCTTAATTTTTCGTCTGTACCCATGCGTATCCAAGGTGTATCCCTATACGTCTCTTAAATTTGCCTTTCCAATACACATAGCGTTTCCGATACTTTGAACCTTGACTATTGATTAAAAACACTTATCCAAATTGCACCCCTAATGGGTCGGCCTTATATGGGATCAACTACATAAATCCTATTTTGCCATTTTTGTTTTGTTTAATGCCATTGTTAACTTATGAGCTCTTAAATCATTTCTTATTATTTCAACCCATGTCCTTTTTGATCTATCTCTACTCCCCTTCACCTGCACTAGATCACTTCTTCATATGGCTATTGTTGATGGTCTTCTATGCGTATAATCAAATCATCATAGTCTACTTTTTCTCATTTTATCTCTTATTGAAGCTATTCCTAGGTTTGTTCAAATAACTACATTTGACCATTACTTTTTAGTTTTTTCGCTCATCCATCTCAACATATGCATTTCTACCACATTCATTTTTTGGCACATTGTTTCTTGATTGCCCAATATTATACTTTACAAGTTTACATACAACATAACTGGCCTCTCAACTATATTATATAATTTTCTGTTTAATTCAAGTGGTATTTGCTCAATACATGAGACTTTGAATGCATCCTCTTCCTCCAAATTTTGTCTGCCTTCCTATAGTGGCATCCTTCAATCTCTCCCTTGTTATAATATATTGAACTAAGATGTCAAAAAATATAATATAAATAACATATATATGTATGTATGTATGTATAAATTTATAATATGAATATATTGTAAGTCAGGTTGAGACTATACACAAAGCCTAAGACCAAGCCTCTATAACTTGGAAATAGACCCGTGAACTGCAAATACCAGTCCTCGTTTTGAGTTAAAATTTTCAAATATTTTCTTTTGATAAATGAGTTAAAATTTTCAAACATGGGCAACCCTACAACTAAAAATATTTTATTTTGACTGAGGTAGAGTTTGAATCCTAGTTATACTAAAAATGTCAGGTCAAACATACTCCATGCCATTTACATCCCTTAATTAGACTATTTTGTTGTATCATTATCTTTCAATCCAGACTGGCCAACAATACATATTTGTATTTGTACTTATTCCAAACTGAGCCAAGGTTTAAAATATCAATACAGTCAGTCAGTTGATATATGTATATATATCATATTTGGGGATCATCACATGACTTGGATATAATATTGGAGTATCCATGCAATTAGGGGTGTCAATGGACCGGTTTTGGATTGGACCCCGTCAAATCCAAAATCAATTTGGACAGATTGAATGAACGAACAAGACATATGAATTGGATCAGCCCAAACTTAATGGTCCAAAGTATTTATTAGATCGGATTGTACCTGGTCCATCCGTAATGAATTTATATTGAATTGGGCTGAACTGAATCAATATCTGGTCCATTGATAGAAGATAAGAATATATAAGTGCCAATGGATCAAGTTTGGGCTAGAATTAATCTAAATTTAAACAAATTTAAATAGATTGAACGGTACAAACATTGAATTGGACTGGTCCAAAATATTCATTGAATTAGATTGGACCTGATCCATTTTTAATGGATTCACATTAGACTGGATTGGTTTGGGCCAAATCCAGTCCAATTAACACCACCCATGATGCACATTATCAGTTTTTGTATTGATAATTGTCGAGCATTGGACAATATATGTATCCATGCTTGCTCATCATCGACTAAAATAAAAGTGAAACAAGAAAAGAAGAACAAAGAAAGAAGAAATTAATTGATAATCAAGATTAATACTTTTTTAAGTATTAATGAGCTTTATATTGGTTTCCCAAGTGTTTTCAAACATATATCTCAATTCTTCTACCATTTTCAAATTGTTTTCTCAGTCCTTCCCTAGAGTTTATGCATCGCATAAACTACTAAAAATGCATGTGTATCGCCCATTTCGGATATACCTTACGATTCCGATACTTTGGAACTTTCTTACCACAGATATTGAGGTGATAGATAATTCTACATTTACATTTGGGTTGGTTTCAATTTCAATTTTTATATGGAATGTGGTCAATTCCAACCATCATAAAGTTTTTGTCATGTCTCTTTCCTCAATTCTAATTCCTATAGCTACATAACCCTACAACAACTGAGATTGAATGGAATAATTTCGTATAATGGATTTGGACGAACCTAAATAACTGTAATGAAAGCTCCAGCATGATAACTTTAAGCTGCAACTCTCTCACAAGGGGTGATGAATGGGTCAGGAATAGGATATGGGACCTAGACCTGTTCATGGGCCAGGCATCTTGGCGGGTTTGTCCGATTTGATCCATTTTTTATTAGACTTGGACATTATTTAAGGCCCGTGGGCTTGGATTCAAGCTCTAATACATTAGGCATAATTATTTTTCGGTCAGGCTTAGGATTTCTCGAATAAACCTAATCTGATAATATAAAATATATATTAATATATCTACCTCTAGAAAAATATATTTGCTTAGTTTCCCTTTTATTTACAATAGAGGACCTTTTTCCTATCCAATTTCCAAACTGGGTTTCAGGCTCGGGCTTAGACCTGAACATTTTCTATTAATAAAGAAATAAAACCCGGCCTGTGAACAGGTACAATGGGACTTGGGTCCAATTCAAGCCTTCAAGCTTTAGGCAAGGGCGGAGCTAATAGACTGATCTAACCCATTATGGTCTGAAATGAATCAGACACTGTGCAGCTACTTTCCAAGCCTCGATCTTTGAATTGGACAGGCCGACTCATTATTTCATTCTTTTTGAAGAAGATAGGATACTAATCCACACAAGGCTGCCTTTATTCCATGTAATCCACTCTCAAATTGACCAGATTGAGTAGGGAATTGCTCCACTAAAACTGATCAATTGCACTAACAAAAGCTTACTTTTAGTT